CGGGCCTTCTTTAACGGGAGTTATTACAAATATTCGAAGAGACGCTCATTGAATCATTTTTAGGTTAAGATCCACCATGCTTCTGTCTCATCGCCCACTGCTGTTTGGTTTGTGGCCCAGTGTTGCGTTTTTAAAATGGAGCTCAGGTCCTTTTCCTCAGATAGCGAAGGGGGGAGAGAAGAGAAATCATACTAGCGGAAGGAAAAATAGATTTGTGAACTGTTGCTTAAAAGCAAGGAGAATATTTCATGTGTTGCCATGTCTGAAGATGCTTTATTGGAAGAGGACATTTGGGAGTACAAATCCATTAGGAAGCAAAAGCATCAGAGTAATTCAGAGAGCATCTCTACACCTGCGCAGAAAGTAAGTGATGGCAAGTGCAGGCCAAAAAGAAAAGGAAATAGAAGAAAAAAAAAATCCATAGAAAAACCTGATACGCTTCAGAAAACCGAGCAGACATCAAGGCCAATTGAGGATGTAGATCAATGTAAAGATGACAGTAGTGTGCACTCCCAGGAAAGTGCGAGCAGCCTGACGGGACAGAGCTCACAAAACACAAAGCCTGTTCATGATGGATACTGTCCGAGCTGCCAGATGCCCTTCTCTTTGCTATTGGTCCAGACACCTCGATGGCATGTTGCGGAATGTTTGGATGCTCCAGGATCCATTGAAAAAGGTATGAATAGAGTTTAAAAAAAAAAAGCCTTCAGAGAAGAGTTAAAGGCTTCTCACATAATGTTGCTGTAAACCTTGCTTTTCATATTTAGTTCAAAATCTGAGATGGTAGTTGGTATGATTCTTAGAATGCTATTATCAGATTTTGGTTCTTTGTGAACATGTAAATCTGACATGAAAATCTCATATCATCATCTAATCTCAAAACTTGGTAGTGATAATGATTTATGGTTGTTTATCAAGCTCCAGTTTTAGTGGTTTATTGAAGAAATTGAAGGTGCATATTTACCACTTTAAAATAATGGAACCTTTTTCAATTATTAATTCAGTGTCAGCAAAAAAACTTCCTTCAGTTAAGAGGCTGCTACGTTTGACACCAAATTTCTTTCTCCTTAGGTATAAATTTTATTATCCCGTATCCATGTTGCTGTGTGACTTGTCCAGTTGTCTATGGACAGCTGGAAGCTGAACTCAGCCTGTAGGCTAATTTACTTGAAATGTTAGCCCCTGACCCGGTATGCTTTAGAAATTTTGTACAGAATTATACATGAACATTCCTGTATCATAGGACAGCACAGTTTTGTTTTGAGTTCTGTATGAGAGGAATAAACCTGACTCATTCCAATTGCTAGTTTGATGTGAGGAAATACCATGTCTGAACAGATCCAGGTATCCAACTTACGTTCTTAGTACACCTCATAACTTTTGTCAAACAGAAAGCATACAGTCATGAAACTTTAGTAAAGGCTGTTTAGGTAACACAGTCACTTTTCTTATTATATCTTTGTAACTTCCCTTGAAGTTTCTTCTTCAAAACAATGAAATGTGAGCCCTTTAATCCCGATTTTGGAAGTGGCTTTAACTTAAGGCAGATGTGTTAATACCTCATTTCCATCTCTTACTCCTATAATTGACAGATGAAAAAACCTTCTGACTGATTTATGCATTCGTCTTAAAATCCTCAAAAGTTAGGCTAGCAAACTCTCAACAGAAAAGGCTTAGGTAACAGCCACAGCTTTTTTGCTGGCATCTGAATCCTGAATACTTTTTCCATGTAAGTAAATACATGGCTTTTTTTTTTTTTTTAATTTAATGTGTAACCCAGCAGACAATTTGAAATGGAATTTCAGGTGATTCAGAACCAAAATTTGGTTTGTTTTGAAACATGTCTACTGGCCTTTTCTGGTGCTGCTTCTCTGAGCTCATTGCTTGCATGTGAGACAATTCTAAACTAGAAGCCATATGATGACATTAGCACAGTACTGAAACAGGGTTAAGTACTCTCATTGTTAGAGGGCTGTATTAATTCAGGCACAGAGCTGTATTAATTCAGGCATAGAGCAGCAGCTGTTTGGCTTAAGGTTGGAAGCATTCTCATTTTTAGCCAGCTCAGGGCAGGAGGTCTTGGCAGCTTGAAAATTACTTTTTACTTGTGCCTTCTGCCCTTCAATAGCTG